ATGTCAGCCTCTCTGAAGGGAGATGTTTCATTTAGCAAAGATATCGAGTTTTCTAAAAATAAACCCTGACAGGACACCAGTTCCAAAGTTCACTGAACTATTTTCTGTTTTGAGAGAGAAGAAAAATATAATCTAGTTGCTACACAATAACTAACTTTAAGACTGATTTGGGAATTTGGATTTTTTCTTTTGCAGATTTAAATTTGACGATTGCCTCTTCAAAAGCAAAATGTTTAAATTTTGCTTTTTCAAATGTTTTTTATTAAAGTACATTTTAAAAAGCATTTGTGTGCTTTTTATTAAATTATAAATTAAACTAATTTAAATAACAAATATAATTTAAATTTGAATCAAAATAAATTGAAACTAATTTTAATGAATCTGCAGCTGTAGCAGAGTCCATAGATATTGTAAATATGTTTTAAATATATAATATTAAACAGAATAATGTTAGAACATGTGAAGTTCTAGTACCCCGCCTCCTGCCTCTGCAGACTGAGCCCAACATCCCCACATCTGAATTTTAATTTTACACTCGATACGTTGCAGTCTGCTCACTGTCCTGGTAACTTTTATCACATTAAAAACTCAAACTTCAGAGCTTGAGATATTGTTTTAAAACCAAATCCATCTTTAAACTTCTCCACGACTTTCTCCCTCACTTTATTTGCACATCAGATAAAAGTGGGCAAAAACACATTTCAGATTTTTTTATTTTGGAAAAGAAAACCACGTATCACTTTTGTTCCGTCTCAGAATCACGCTGTTGGTTTAGGAATATTTATAACTGTAACATCAAAAATACTGAAGTGGGAAATTCACCCTGTTTTTAGTGAAGCTTTTTAAATAATCAGCAGTACTTTGCATGAATGACTGCTGTAACGATTATAATTTTGTATTTCAGTAATTCTTGAGAATAGGGACAAAATGGGTTTTAATTTTCCCATTTTTTTATTATTATTATTTCTCAATCTTTTGTATGCAAATATGACAAATAATGTTTAGGAAAT